ATAGATAGATAGATAGATAGATAGGTAAATCTATCTATCTATCTATCTATCTATCTGTCTGTCTGTCTGTCTGTCTGTCTGTCTGTCTATCTATCTATACCTATATCTATATCTATCTATCTATCTATCTATCTATCTATCTATCTATCTATCTATCTATCTATACCTATATCTATCTATCTATCATCTATCTATCTATCTATCTATCTATCTATCTATCTATCTATCTATCTATCTATCTATCTAATTCCGGGTGTGGCACTGCGGGATAAACACTGGACCATGAGGTCAGTGGTTTAAACCCAGCAGTCACTCATATATAGAGTCACCATGAATCAAAATGGAGTCCTGGTGTGGCACTGTGGGCTAATGCATCAGACTGCAAAGTCATTTGAACTGCAAGGTCAGTGGTTCAAGCTCACCAGCTGCTCCTTGGAAATCCTATACAGGGTCGCTATGGGTCAGAATCGACTTGACAGCACTTAACAACAAATGAGTCAAAATGTACTTGAAGGCACTTATGTATGTATATATATATATTCAAACCAAACAAAGGAATATAAATGGTTTAGGAACAGCAAAGGCGTGTGCTAGGGTTGTATCTTTTTACCATACTTATTCTATCTGTAATCTGAGTAAATAATCCAAGAATCTGGATTACATGAAGAAAAAAGTGGCATCAGGATTAGAGAAAGACTCACTCACAATCTAAGATAGATAATCACTCATTTGGCATTGAATTATTTTTTATTTTTTTTATCAGTCTTAACCACACCAAGTGTTTTATCTGTATACATCAATGTACAGATAAAAAAGTTCCCACATTCACATTCTCTTAATTAGAATTCTGTTAAGAGTCAGGTATTGTGCCAGGCACTTGACAACCATGATCGCATTGAATTATCACAACCACCCAGTGAAATCTGGTTATTCTTTTTTCAGTGCTTAGGGATTGGACTTAACATTTAAACAGAGTTGCAGTTGGTCAGTTGTTGTTACATGCCGTTGAGTTGATTCTGATCCATAGCAACCCTGTATAGGGTTTCCATGGAGCAGTTGGTGAGCTTGAACCACCGACCTTGCAGTTCAAATGACTTTGCAGTCTGACGCATCAGCCCACAGCGCTACACCTCAATAGACATTTATTGATGGGCCGGCTCCACAACAGTGATGAGCAGTAGTATTTCTGTGCAAGCAGTGAGTTGGTGACGTGCTATTTCCATGGTGGTACCACGACTTTTGTGGAGTAGCTACTATTCCTTCAACTAAAAGCTCTGAAATTTGTGGTGCCTCTTGTCCTTAAAAGGGCCAGAATGACCAATGAAAGGCCCCCAAGCAAATGTTGTTATTAAGTGCCTCTGAATCAGTTTCGTTCGATTCACAGTGACCCTATATAGAGTTTCTATATATAGAGTTTCCGAGGAGTGGCTGGTGAGCTTGAACCACCAACCTTGTGGTTGGAACCAATCTTGCATTCCAGCGCATTGACCCACAGAGCCACACCAGAACTCAAGAACAAATGTTTGCCAAATTCCTAATAGGGATGGGAAACAGAGAGAAACTATCCAGTAAGTCTACAGATTTCATAATTGAAAACATATTGGCCCTTCTTATATTATATTCACACATACGACAAGTGATATTAAAATTAGTTCTCATAGATTTTTGTTAAATATGGTAAAGGCACAATTTCATTTATAATGGAGACAAAAACTCTGTACACTTTATAGTATGTTGTTGTTGTTGTCAGGTGCCATCGAGTCGGAACCGACTCATAGCGACCCCATGCACAGCAGAACGAAACAATGTCTGATCCTGGGCCAACCTCACTACTGCTGCCACACTAGAGTCCATCAATGATGCCACCTGGCCAATCCATCTCATTGGGGGTCTTCCTCTTTTTCTCTGACCCTCCACCTTACCCAGCATGACATCCTTCTCCAGCAACTGTTTCTTCCGGACAATATGTCCAAAGCAGGAGAGACGAAACTTAGCCATCTTGGCCTCCAAGGAGCACTCTGGTTGCACTTCTTCCAAAACAGACATATTGGTTCTTTTGGCAGTCCATGGCACTTTCAGTATTCTCCTCCAACACCACAACTCAAAGGCATCAATTCTTCTACGATCTTCCTTATTCACTGTCCAGCTTTCGCATCCATGAGGCTATTGAAAACACCATCAAACTGCCCACAACGGTATTCTCTCCATCTTCAATATAGTCAGTTTTTGGCACCCCTGAAATGTTGGTAGTCTGCCACAGCTTTAACAAATTAGACAATGTTTAGAGTTCCTTAAAAATACACAGACATTTTTAGACATGTCTTATTTATATTTCTCTCCCTAGCTCTTAGCTGAGTGCTTGGCCTATAATACTCAATGTCTGCTGCTGTTCTAAGTGCTGTCGAGTCGGTTCTGACTCATAGCGACGGTATATTGGGTTTCTGAGGAGCAGCTGGTGGGTATGAACTGCTGACCTCATAGTCCAAATTGACCTTATGGTCCAGTGCTAAAGCATTCAGAACCGACTTCTGATTTTGAATTCTAAGGTGTTTGTCTTGTGGCTTAACAAAAGAAACAGGTTCTCAGTGAGCTTCTTCTCATATACTTACCTTCCGCATTAACAACCATAGTTCCGATAACCCCTTTATGGCTCTGAATCCGCTTTAGGATTTCCTCCACCTCTGTCTGGAAGTGATCAAGAAGGTAATTATCCAAAAGGGTTGTTGTAGTGACCCCATTCCCAAATAGACTAGTGTTAAGAAAGATGCCCAACTCCAGATCTCCCTAACCGAAATACTGGCTTCTATATTGTAAGGTTTTCAGAAGACAGCTTTGAAATGATCAAGTCCTATACACAAAGCCATACAATACCCCCTGGTCTACAATCCCGAGAAATCTGTGTACTTGAACCCTTCTAGAAACACAACTTACTGCCTCCCAAGTCCTCTTTCGATTTTTATCACTCCACTCATTTCAATTTCATATAATTTTCAATTTCTTCACATTTAACAGAAATCTATTCCCGATCATCTTCCGATAATTGTTCATAGTTTTTCTTTCTGGACCCATTTGGAACATTTTTTACAGTGCAGTTCTTTGATATTTAAAGAACAGTCTCATGGGTGCCCTCTGTTCTATCCTGTCATGAGAAATCTTATTTTCAGTCTTAAATGTTACCTAGTTGGGAGTTCCAATAATAAACTTCCAGAAGGATATGCTATAAAAACATAACTAGAGATCGAGTCTGTATTGGGGGCAAATTGCACATCCAACCATGAAGGATTATGCTGGAATCCCATTACTGGGTTTGAAACTCAGCTCTCTGCGTGACTCGTATGCACTGACACTACTGTGCGTGCTTTATTCCCCTCAGATCTAAGGATGCCAGAATCAAGATTAATCTTTTTCAAATAGTGGCTGAGTTATCACGAGAGGCTCTTAATTCAAGTCATAGTCTGTAGAGTCTCTTGATGAGGGTTTGTGATGTTTTTCTCCTTCTTCTTTTTTAAACACCACCCAGGTGAAGATTGTACTGTTGTTGTTGTTGTTAAGTGCCATCGAGTCGGGTCCGACCCATAGCGACCCTGTACAGGGTTTCCGAGGGTGTAAATCTTTACGGGAGTAGAAAGCCTCATCTTTCTCCCGCGGAGCGGCTGGTAGTTTCGAACCGCTGACCTTAAGGTTCGCAGCCCGATTCGTAACCACTACGCTACCAGAGATTGTACTACTTGAGTCCAAATACAGTTTTAGTTTCTTTTGCACCTCACATGGGCAGAATCACTGATTTCCTTTTTCCCTCCACCAAGGAAGGTGTTTTCTGAATTTCAGACATCCATGTTACTAGAGTCACGATTTTTTTTTTTTTTTTACCATTACAAATATCATCTCTATCATTTAACTAGAATTTTCCTTAAATTATTTCACTGATGAAAGCTGAAATTTAAGAGCATTTAAAGAGGAAAGTATACATCAAAAGTGTAGCAACTTTTGATATAACTGTTAAAAACTAGCATGATGAGGACAGACTCTATTATTAAATTCTATTCGCACAAAGGCTCTCAGTGTACAGTGTACTTGTTCAGGTGAAAAGTGGGCATTACTAAAGGATTGTGGTATTGAGGATCTCAGAGTGTCAGAAAGTCTCTTGGACATTATCAAAAACTGACCAACAATGGGAGAGGAGTAACTTTCTCATGATGCAATTCACTGTTATTTGGTTATTCTGGGCCCTTACTTCAGGACTAATCATTTATTACACTTTTTGTAATTTTTAAGAATATGTCCACAGTTCCTTACAACCAGTGGCCTCTTTTTGTGTCTTTTGTCACAATACGCCTCTTTCTGGTCTTCCCTCTCTCCTCCTGGTTCTGTCTCTCATGATTCGTAAAGCCTCCTAATAATACACCCTCTTCATCTCCATTACTTTTGATTCCTCTTTTAAGAGCGATTATTCTTTGCTTTTTCTCAATCTTTCCCTAGTCTCTACTTTCCCTTTGTCGCTCTCTCCTTTCTTCCTTCCATCCACTTGCACACCAATCCCACCCTCACTTCTCTTTGGCCTCATCTCCTGTTTATATTCTTCCTTCTCTTAATAACTCCTCCTAGTCTCTCTCCACTCCCTGGCTCGCTCTCTTTCATTTCTTTCTTCCCTCTGGGGATCTTTACCATCTGGCCCTATCTCCTTTTCAACGTTCCTCTCTCGGATTCCTCTCAGGATCTTCCATCACCTCCAAGTTTCTCTTTTCTTTTTCTGTATACCTCCTTCTCCCAGACACTCCTCAGAGCCCCTCGTAAATCTCCCCTCCACATAACTACTATCTCCCAGAAAGCTTCGCCTAGCTAAACTTCCTTGATTCCCATCATATAGACATCTTGCCCTCTGCGGGGTCTCCCTCTCTCGCTGCTCCAGAAGGTCCGAATCCCCGATGGGCAGATCACAGACCGAGACCCCAAACTTACCATGGCACTGATGGGGAGACACTCGGCTCAAGCGCCGCTGCTGCCTGAGACGTCAACAACGCTCCCAGCTGTTGCTAGGAGACAGGGGAGGAAGTGACCTCGAGGAAGAAGAGCTACTGCGCCTGCGTGTTTGCTGGGCGGCTCTTTAGCCCAGAAGTTTGCGCTGAGCTTCCGGGCCTCCGTAGGCGATCTGAGGCAGGAACCCACCGTATGCTCCTCTGCGGGCAGCTGAATTGAAGAGGGACTAGGGCGGAGGCCAGGCTCCCGCCAAGTGGTTCGTGTGTTCGTTGTTTCCTCCAGTTGCACAGTAGTGTCCCAGTCGCTCACTTATTCCAGAACTAGTTAGTGAGCAGCACCAGGTACGGGGCCCTGGGTCCATTTGTAGCGAGAGCACAGGACAAAAATGCAACCAATGAAAAGGTCATGTCTGTTCAAAACAGAGTTTTTGTTAATTCAAGCAAGACCGTCTAGTCAGGTATAAAGATTCGTAAAGTTCAGAATGCCATTCCGAAGAGCAAGCTGGCGCACGCTTAGGTCCTTCAGGGTCAGTTTTGCAGGACTCCTGTGCCCACGATGTCTGCTGATTGGGGTGTCCCCCTCAGCCTCAGTTTCCTGCATCCCAAGCTGCTTCTGCGCAGTCTGGGTGGGCACCTCCAAGGGAGGCAGACCCAGCCCTCTCGGTGGCGGGTGAGGCTCTGGGTCACCAAGTCGGGAAAGCTGGGACAAAAAGCTGTTCAGACCCGTGTCAGCCACTCAGTTGTTACTGTCGTAAAGCGCCATAGCGTCCCTGGTGGGTTCGAACCGCTGACTTTGCAGACGGGTCGAGTCATAGCGTCCCTGGTGGGTTCGAACCGCTGACTTTGCAGTTAGCAGTCCAGCGCTGAGCGTACATGCCTCACCGGGCTTCGCGTCAGCCATTTTAGTTACGTCATCCCCCTTGGCTCTAGAATGTTCTTTCACCTTTCCGGGGGTTCGGGAGCGTCTGCTTCTGGCGCTGAGGCAGCTGTTTTATTTGAACCCGAGCTGCCTTGGGGTGCTGAGCACACTACAGTTCGGTACAGTTCCTGTGCGGTGCTGATGATAAGGTTCCAGAAGTACCTTTCTATGGAAGACAACGTGTCACCGCAGCACGAAATGCCATCCTGTGCCTTGTTTGAAGTGTCCACATGGCAAATTTATTTTGAAAATCGTGTACTACCTCTGACAGCTGAACTCTCAGAGTTAGAAGCAGAATCTATGTTAAAGTGGGTTTGGGACTATTAACCCCCACTGGCCTCGCAGGGACATTCCAGGGCAGGGACGTCCCCTCTGATGGTTGCCTGGTTGTGATGTCATTCCTCAAGAGCCACAGACTCAGCTTGCTTCTTTGCCATAGTCCCCTCCCTGCTGTCGTAGACCCAGGAAATACATACAGTGCGTGGCTGCTGCCTTCCATGTGGTTGTGGGAAGAGACCCCTTTGTTTTCTGTGCCCTGTCAAAGGTCACCACTGGAGACAGACCTTTGGAAATTCATCATGGCATCTTCGATGACTTTCCTCACCCAGCCATCAGTGTTTGTCTCATTTTGACTCCTCTTTAAGACTTAATAAAGAGTCTGTAGTCTTGGTGTGGTGCCGTAGGGTAAGCACTGGACTTCTAACCTCAAGGTCAGCGTTTCAAAATCACCAACTCCTCAGGAACCCTATTCAGAATGGACTCCGTGGCGCTTAATTGTAACAATAGTTAAATATTTGAAGATGGCATGTCTTTTCTCCCCTATAGCAATAGTTGTTAAGTGCCCTGGAGTTGATTCTGATTCATAGTGGCCCTGTATGACCTTGTAGAGCACTTCCAAGGAGTGACTGGTGGGTTTCAATCACTGACCTTGTGGTTAGCAGTCCAGAGCTTACCCTACAATGCTACACCAGGAGAGGCTTCAAAAAGTTCATGGAAAGCTTCTGTTATCTTTTAATTCCTTTTGTCCACAACTGTATAAAACAAAAGAACCAAACTGCTTTCTATGGAGTCAGTCCATTCTGGTTCATGGTGACCCCCTGTGTGCAGAACAAAACTGCTTCCTGAAGGTTTTTGAGACTGATCTTTCGGAAGCAGATCTTCCCTTCCAAGACCTTTGGTGCATTCAAACTGCCAACACCAGTTTTTCAGTTCATACTAGAGGACTTTGGTTTTTAGTGTTGTCAAGTCGATTCTGACCCATGGCGATCCTGTATAGGATTTCCAAGGAATTGCTGGTGAGTTTGAACCATCGGCCTTGCGCTTCAAATCGTCTTTGCAGTCCAGCACATTAACCCACAGCACCACAGCAAGAATGTTGTTAAGTGCCATCGAGTCGATTCTGACCCATAGCGACCCTCCAAGGAGCAGCATGTGAGCTTGAACCACTGACCTTGCAATTCAAATGACTTTGCAGTCTGACACATTAGCCCACTGTGCCACACCAGGACTCTGCAAGACTGCAGTAGAGGCCTTTAATTCTTATATACTGTGTATATATCAGTTATTTCCCCAGCTCCCCAAACTGGGAACACCATCTTACAGTTGATGTTCTATGTGCTTGTAACACCCTCACCTCTCCACTTCCTGCTCTAAACTAGTTTGAGTTAGTATTTGCAGTAGTTTTATTTAATCCTTTACAGTCATTCTCTGCTGTTTGTGGCCAACAGTTCTGAGTTGCTAAAAGGTTGTTTGTAAGTGATAATTCAGGAGAGTACCAATTGCTATAGAAGAGTGTTCCACTCTTCTCTAAGGAACTGATGGGGGACATAGCAGCAGATCATTAGAGATGGTCAGAATCATCTGACCTTCTGAAGTGCACCGACAGCGTCTTTGAGGTCTGGGAAAAAGGGACCAACAGCTGTGTAAAGTACAGCAGGAAAGTTTTTATGTTCCAACTTCAGGTGTTTGAAAAGGACTCACAGTGAGAAGTCATCCCCATGGGAACCGTACTATTATGACCCTCTATAAAATGAATTCTGTTTGGGCTTCTCTTTCCAGAAAGCAGTCGCACATGAAATGGCATGCTTATTATTAGAAATGTCAACTAAAATCTGAATGGCCTTTTGGTTCCGAACAATCTGAAATGGACACTCTGGTTTTGAACTCATTGTTGGGTTTGGATTAGATAATCCATTTCAAGTCTGTGTTCTTATTTCGTGATTTGAAGTCATGGCCAGAAACTCTGAGAACCTCTTGGTCTGATTTTCTGTGGTTTTTGTATGTTTGTTTTTTATGGAGGGTAGTCGATTCTGGTCATTGGTAGTCTACTCTTTTCCTTTCCAACTAAATAGCCAAGTAACCTCCTTGTCACTCAACATCTTGGACTCTAGTTGAGATGATTTGGAATGGGCAGCTAAGATTGTGGGAGAGGAGTCATGTGGGTATGTGTGTGTGTGTGTGTGTGTGTGTATAGACCTGATTCTTAACCGATTGTCTATATCTACCATTTTCAGTAATAAGAATGTCAGTAGCTCCAGTATTACTGGCTGAATTGTTTGTAAAAAGGCTGATTCCTAGACCCTCTAGATGTTTCTTTTGAAGGAGATTCCAATTTGATTGTGTAGCCATTTGTTTTCTTATAAAATTAGTAGCAGTTTAGCGTTTCTGTTCCATCCATCAGCTTTAATGAAGGACTGGACTGAGTATGTGTGGGGTGTGAATATCCCTTGTTTCTGGAGCCAGGATGTCAGTTGCATTCAGTATTGGACAGCAGTGGTTACAGCAAAGGAGACTCCAACCTTGAACAAGGCCCTAACAGGAGTAGTTGTTGTTGTCAGGTGCCATCGACTCGGAACCGACTCATAGTGACCCCATGCACAGCAGAACGAAACAATGTCCGATCCTGGGCCAACCTCACTACCGCTGCCACACTTGAGTCCATCAATGATGCCACCTGGCTGATCCATCTCTGACCCTCCACCTAGCCAACTGCTAAAAAAGAAATACGAACTAGCCACACTGTCTTCCAGCCAACAGTCACTTTTGACCCAGAGAACCAAGGAAATCAATGAGGAGAATATGAGCCTTTTCTCCATGTCGGTTTTCACTAGTAATTATTCCTTGTGGGTGGCTTGCTTGAATGTTATGCCTTTAAGGGAGTATAGTGGATACCCATAGTTGTGCTATACAAAGTGCTTTGGCGCAGCGTCTGATACGTGGCCTACCCCTTCCTCAATACGTGAATTCTAAAATCCTCTGAGGCAGAACTAGAGGTTGCCATTGGTACCAATAAGGGTTCCGTGTAACTGACACAGTGTCCTAGAATTACAGGGACTGTCAGTGCCATCAAATCTATTCCAACTCGTAGTGACCATGTTGTTGTTAAGTGCTGTCGAGTCAGTTCATAGCGACCCTGTGTAGGTTTCTAAGGAGGGTCTGGTGAGTTTGAACCACCGACCTTATGGTTAGCGTCCAGTGTATCCTACAGCGCCACACCAAGACTTATAATGGCCATGTGTAACACATGTATAACATGTATGACACAACAAAATACTGCCCATTTTTGTGCCATCCTCAAGACATTTCTGTGTTTGAACCCATTGTCAGTACGCTGTCAATATAATTCATTGAGGGCCTTCCTTTTTTTCTTTTTCTTTTTTCCTCACTGATCCTCTACTTTACCAAGCACGAGGTTCTACTTCAGGGACCTGTCCCTCCTGGTAACATGTCTAAAGTAAATGAGATGAAGTCTCACCATTCTCCCTTCTAAATAACATTTTGGCTGTACTTCTTCCAAGACAGATTTGTTCATTGTCTGGCAGTCCATAATACTTTCAATATTCTTCGCCAACACCATAATTCAAATGCACCAATTCTTCTCTGGTCTTCCTTATCCGTTGTCAAACTTTCATATGTATATGAAGGAATTGAAAATACCTTGACTTAGTCCTCAAAGTGCCATCTTCACTCTTTAACACGTCACAAAGGTCTTTGGCAGCAGAGCTGCCCAGTGCAGATGTTTGAGTTCTTGACTCCTCCTCCTTTCATGAGCATTGATTGTACAGGGTCCCAGTAAAATGTCATCCTTGACGCCATCCATCTTTTCTCCGTTTATCGTGATAGGGCTTCTCGGTCCTGTTCTCAGGATTTTTGTTTTCTTTACATTGATTTGTAACCCAACTGAGGGCAATGTTCTTTGATCTTCATCAGCAAATGCCTTATTTCCTCTTCACTTTTAGCAAGCAAGGTGTGTCATCTCCATATCCCACATGTTGTTAAGTGCCATAAAGTCAGTACCTGCTCATAGAGACCCTATATAAAGTTCCTGAGAAGTGGTTGGTGAGTTTGAACTGCTGACCTTTCAGTTAATAGTCTAATGTTTACCCTACAGCACAACACCAGGACTCCATATTCAGATAGTAATCATATATCCACTCTTTTTTATTCTGTCTTTTCCTTTCTTTAGTCTCTTTTTCCTTCTCCTTCCATCCCTGTCCTTTTTCGCACACACTATACTCTGAGTTATGGGAGCATTAGGGAACTTAACAGGTTACAGTGCAGAAGCAGAAATGTTCGGCATACAGTTCTTTCAGTCCAGTCATCCATGCCCACAGACAGTTTTCTCTCGGGTCCTTGGCCTCTCAGCCACGCAGCCCCTTAGCTTGTGCCCTGCTTAGGGAGTGTTTCAAAGCTCCTTTAGCACTGCCAATAAATGCCCCAAAGGGTACTCCACTGGACTAGCTACTTCAGCTCAGAGATGCTCAGCTCTGACTCCTTGGGTGAGCAAATCTAGCTCCCCAGTGACATTCATGGAGGCAGCCCACTACACAAGTGAGCCTCCTACCCAAAGGCACTCACCTTTACTTGCTCCGTGGGCCAGGAAGCCCGCTGCTCTGTCTCCTGCTGTGGCTTTGGACTCCGCTTACTGCTGCTCCCCTGCCACTCCTTTGGTGACACAGCTCTGTCTGTTGGGTTGAGGAGGTTCAATGAGCAGGAGGTCTCAGAGTCTAAAGGACAAATCCAATAGTATGTGGTTCCAAGTTTTGGAGCTCTGCCCTGAATCTGCGTTGCCTGGTATTCTGTGGTATTGCTGACGGTGAATCTCACTGCATCTCCATCCTTGCACCATCAAGCCCCACCTTATTATTGGCTTTTGTCTCAATGGTAGAATATTATGGGGTATGCTTGTAGCTTGGCTATATGGCCATGATTGCTGTGTGTTCTTGGGTAACATAGGGAAAAAAAGCTCCCACCTCCAGGGAAAATGTGTGATCAAAAGACCAAAAGCAGAAGCAATATAAAAGCAGAGACAAAAACTACTACTTTGAAACAACAGCCGACTTTCCAGTCACTTTGGTACACAGGCAGTGTGTGTGCATCGTAGAAGCCTCCAGCAGTGGGTAAGGGTGTCCACTCGCTCAGGCCCCTACTCTAGTCATCACCATAGAGGTAAGCAGATAGATACTGAGATGTTAATGGGAGAAAAATTGTCTACTATTTTTGTCTCTAAAGGTCAGTTAGGTATCTGCACCTACAGTGTAATTCTCAAGATAGTTGCGTCCTTTTATGTTGGGTTTTACGGATTGTTCTTACGGTTTGTCTGTCAGGCCTGATGGGCCTGCTTTTTTCTTGCTAGGTGGGCTGGAGTAAAGGGTTCTGCACAAGATAATTTTAGGGCTGTGACCCCAAGGCTGACGTCTTAAGCAGCCGCCAAGCTCTTTCTCTCTGTTCCGTGGGAAAAGCTGTGGGCTCAGCTCTGGACTTTTTTTTGGGATGTGTGCACCCATCCACCTGAAGGCGTCTGGCTGGGCAAAGAAGGCATGACTGGGAAGAGGAGGAAAAAATGTGTGGATTCCCCTGCACCTCCTTTTGCAAAAGTCATTGCACTGCTTTCAGCTGGTTCCCTGTGCTGGTGTGGCTGTAGCCCCGCCCTCTGAACTCCGCCCCCATGGGGTGGCCTAGAGAGAGTCCAGACTGGAGTGATTCCTAACTTGCAGTATTTTTCTTTTATCATGATTTTTCCACTTGTGCGTGCAGAAATTGACGCCTTGGGCCTTATGCTAGATCCAGAGCCCTGGTGTCATTTCATGAGCGCAGCTTCTCTGGGTCTTCAATTCCTCCCCCACGGAGCCTTTCCTGTCTGGCTGTCTCTGCAGCCGCCAAAAACAGGATCTTTTTTTTTTTTTTTTGCCTGCTGACCACCTTTTGGTATTTCTGTTAGTAAGTACCGTGTGTCTGTTACGTGTTGTCTCTGTTTCTCATCATCTGGGAATATCTTTATTTCAGCTCCATGCTTGAAGGGCACTTTTGTTAGTTAAAGAATCCTCCCTCTTCGGTTTAGCATTTTGAAGATATCATGCTGCAATTTTATGTCTTCCACTGTTTTTACTGAAAAATTTGTTTAGTCTTTTTCCACAAAATTCTTACTCTCTTTTTTAGCCCACATTCTGTTTTTAAAGATTTTCTCCTTTGTTGTTGTTGTTGTTGTTGTTGTTTTTAGCAGTTTTGTGACTTGTTCTTCTTGGTATTTATTTTGCCTGGGGCTTGTGCATCTGTGAGTTGATGCCCTTTTTTCAATTTTGGAAAATTTTTGTCCTATGTTTTTCCAGTTTCAGTAATTTTGAAAACGTCTTTAGAAGAAATAAAGATTAGGAAATTTTCCTAAGAAATATTTACTTATCACCAGTCATACTCAGCATGTGCATTTCCCTCTATCCAATTAAAATGATAACCAAGCAAAGCAGATAAATATATAAATACACACACATATATGTGGTATTCCCCCATTGCACCTGAAATGATCTCTACCAGATTGTCACACTCAAAGGTGACTAATTATTATCACCTATCTATTGGGAGTCCTGGTGTGGCGCTGTGGGTTAATGCGCCAGACTGCAAAGCTGTTTGAACTGCAAGGTCAGCCATTCAAGCTCACCAGCTGCTCCTTGGATACCCTAAACAGGGTCGCTATGGGTCGGAACCGACTTGACGGCACTTCACAACAACAACAAAATCTATGTGTGACACTGTAAGATAAGCACTGGACTGCTAACTGCAAGGTTGGCAGTTCCAACCCACCAGTCACTCCACAGGAGGAAGAGGGGGCTTTCTGCTACTGTAGAGATTCATAGCCGTGGCAACCCTGTACAGGGTCACTGTGAGTCGGAACCGACTACGGCAGTGAGAGAGAGACCAATTATTATAAACTAGGCTAACTTTGTTTATAATGGTGGCACAATAATTAATTGCTTGACTGTGAAGGTCAGCAGTTCAAACTTGCCAACCACTGCAGGAAAAAAGACCTGTTAATCCGCTCCTATGAAGATCGTGGTGTTGTTGGTAAGTGCCATCAAGTCAGTTCTGACTCATAGTGACCCTGTTTTTAAGGAGCAGCTGGTGAGTCTGAGCTGTCAGCCTGTGCTCATCAGTCCAGTGCCTATCCTACAGCACCTCGGGAACATATGGGCTAGGTCTCCTCTGTCCTCTAGGGTTGCTGTGAGTTGGTATCAACTCCACAGCGCACATATCAACACCAACACAAGGCCAATTTTGCCAATAGTTGTATGTCCTAATTAAAGTAAATATCAGGATATAAGCAGTTAGATGTGGCACTGTAGAATAAGCACCAGACTGCTAACCACAAGGTCAGTGGTTCAAACCCACCAGCTGTTTCTTGGACACTCTCTAAGGTCATTGTGACTTGTTTACTGAATAAGAACAACAGGCAGTAAGGTAATCTCAGAGTCAGGGTAATTGGATATTGGGGTATGGGGGGCGTCTACTGCCTTCTATTAACTTAATAATCCCTTATTTTTGATTGACTGGATAACGTTTTCCAAGTAGTTCCATGTGTTCCACCTTTTTGTCCTTCACAATGAATCTGGGAGTGTGGTGGCTCTGTAGGTTAAACACTGGTCTATGAACCAGAAGGTCAGTGGCTCGAGCCCACTACCCATTCCATGGGAGAAAGAAGAGGCTTTCTGCTCCAGCAAACATTTATGGCCTTGAAAACCCTATAGAGGGTCGTTGTGAGTCAGAACCGACGGGGTGGTACTTAACAACAACAACACAATGAACCCTTGAGTTTCCCAGGCAGGCAGTGTCTCTATTTTGTAGATGCCATCACTGAGGCCGGATAAAGATCCAGAGGAAGAAGTCTTCTCAGAGCTGTCCAACACTTTCCTGATGGCTCTGCCCCTGTATCTGAGTGCCTGCACTACACCCTTCATGTTCCTTACATGACCACAGCTCTTTTCTTTTTTTTTTTAAATGTTTTATTGTGAATTATCTGATAGTTTACATGTGAAAACATTAGGTTTACATTCATCCTATTGTATTTTGTTTCCCTGCAAGGATTACAATGATTACATGCCTCATCAAACAACCAAAGGGTACACCCCGCAAGCCTGCCCCCTCAGGCGTCAACACACAGACCCTCTCCTTCCCTGAGTTCAGAGTCCCCAGCCGCTCCATCTCTCCATGTCAGGTCTCTGCCTCTATTTCGGGCATCACTGTTTCTCGGGGCAGGATACCACACTCTGCTCCTCTCCCTTGATGGTCCCAGGGACCTCTGCTCCTGGACTGTAAGATCAACCACTCCTCTCCTTTTGTTACAAAATGTCTGTCTTTGCATTTCCAATCCTCACAGTCAGTCCTGATAGCAATTATTCACTGTTGAACCACAAGAATCTTATCCCCATCTCCTTTCATCTGCGCTGTCCACACAGGTTGGAAACCACTCAGTGGCGATTCTACCTTCCCCCAAACCCCCTGTAACTAGGCTGTCTCTTGAAAGCTTGTAAGAGTCACTTCTTGCCTTTGTAGCCCCCTCCCCTACCCCATTTTAGGTAACTAATGTCTAAGTTGTCCATCCTTGTCAACCCTGTGTACTGATAGGGTGGGAATGATCCTCGCTGTAAAGATTTGTTCCCTCTTTTGAGCTACTACATCCATAAATATAGGTCAAGTTCATCAAATTATAGCGGATTCCTCTTTTTTTCCTCTTCTAGCTTCTTCTAGTTGAGTTTTGATCATCCAGCCATTGAAGCCAGGTCAGGTGGGTACTAGCTGCAAGTATGGGTGTCCTTGTGCATCTCCCCTCACTGCATATCAGATGGACGCTTCACTGTCTGTTGTTGTCCTCTGTGGCCATGACCTTGTCTCTGGGCCCAGAAGTCCCAAGTCCTTGCCATACTGCTGGCCAACCAAGTCTCAACCCAGGTTGATAGGAGTCTATTGAATGTGGTCAAACTTAGCTCACAACTTCATTGCTGTGTTTCCCCCACTTCCCGTTATTGGTGACCATCGTGGTCACCAGCAAGACCACATGCCTGCTCGTTTATTCCCCTTGAGTCTCAGTCTTGGAAGGGGGTTTGCTCTGAGGGGACCCAACCACTAACTTGATGGATCCCCGGTGAACAACTTGCTTGTTCTTGTAGTAGTTAATCAGACTGTCATTATTGTTTTGTATTTTTCCTGTAGGTCTTTCTTTTAAGAAGTATCTTCTGTTCTTCTAGCCCCGCCAGGCTGGTCGGCTTGTCCTTTCAAGTGGAAGTTTCCCACCTCAGAAGATTCTGGATGGGGTTCAGGATTCCACCTATGGTCTTATATAATACAAAGGCTCTGCAGGAAGCCTCCTTCACTGGGCACGTTGTAGCCCCATATTAGGTATTCCAATCAGTTATAGGCTGAAGATGGACTTACAGGCTTTCTATGGTGATGTTTCTGGTTAATCCTTTGTCTCCCCCTCAAGTGTGACCATGGTTCTTGTTGTTTGTTGTCATTGAGTGAATGGTAACCCTATCTATGTAGAGTGACACTGCGCTCCATAGGGTTTTTTTTTGTTTTTGGCTGCAATACTCTTTAATCCTATCTCTTAACACT